GTATACCCACTGTATATATACACACACACACACACACACACAGTGGTGTGAAAGTTTTTTAACCCTTCCTGTTTTTTTATTTTTTACATATTTGTCACACTTGAATGATTCAGATCATCAAACAAATTCTAATATCACACAAAGATAAAAATAAAAAATACAGTTTTGAAATAATTATTAAATTTATTAAGGGAAAAAAGCTGTCCAAACCTGCCTGGCACTATGTGAAAAAGTAATTGCCCCTAAATCTAATAACTGGTTGTGCCACCCTTTGCAGCAACAACTGCAATCAAGCGTTTGATAGCTGGCAATGAGTCTTTCACATAGCTGTGGAGGAATTTTGACCCACTCTTCTTTGCAGGAGGGTTTTCGAGCATGAATGGACTGTTTAAGGTCATGCCACAGCATCTCAATCGGATTTAAGTCCGGACTTTGACTTGGCCACTCCGAAACCTTAATTTTGTTTTTATTAAGCCATTCAGAGGTGGACTTGGTGGTGTGTTTGGGATCATTGTCCAGATGTAACGGGACACACACCTTCCAAAAAGTTTAACTTTTGTCGTATCCGTCCACAGAATATTTGCCCAAAAGTCTTGGGGATAATCAAGATATTTTTTTTAGCAAATGTGAGACAAGCCTTTTTGTTCTTTTTGGTCACCAATGGCTTTTGCCTTGGAATTCTCTCATGGATGCTGTTTTTGCCCAGTCTCTTTCTTATTTGTTTAATCATGAACACTGACTTTAATTGAGGCAAGTGAGGCCTGCAGTTCTTTTGATGTTGTTCTGGGTTCTTTTATGACCTCCTGGAGTCGTCGTCGTTGCGTTCTTGGGAGTAATTTTGGTAGGCCGGCCACCAAAGGAAGGTTCACCACTGTTCCAAGTTTCCTCCATTTGTGGATAATTGCTCTGAGCGTGGTTCCCCGGAGTCCCAAAGCCTTAGAAATGGCTTTATAACCCTTTCCAGACAGATACATGTCAACTATTTTGTTTCTCATCTGTTCTTGAATTTCTTTAGATCGAGGTATGATGCGTTGCTCTTTAAGCATGCTTCACTTTGTCAGACAGGTTCTATTTAAGTGATTTCTTGATTCAACAGGTCTGGCAGTAATCAGGCCTGGGTGTGGCTAGTGAAATTTAACTCCGCTTTCTAAAATAATGTGGTTAATCACAGTTCTTTCATGATTTAACAGGAGAGGGCAATTCATTTTTCACGTAGGGCCAGGTAGGTTTGGACAGCTTTTTTCCCACTTTGAGAATGAAATGAAACAGAATGAAATCATTTAAAAACTGCATTTTGTATTTTCTTGCATTATCTGTGTGTAATATTTGTAATTACACATTAAATTACATTATTTGTAATTACACATGTAAATTAATAATATGTGTACAATTTGTTTGATGATCTGAAAGTGACATGCAAAAAATGTAAAAAAAAAACAAAACAAAACAAAAAACACGGCACTGTATATATATATATATATAAAAATATGGGGAAAATAAGGGAAAAAATCCACACTTTTTTAAGCCATGGTAGCGGTCTTTCATTTGACTTCTTACTGTTGTAATAATGGATTAATGTCTGTTATACATAAATTTGATTAGCAGAGTGTTACAAAAGTGGTGTTTGTATCATTATAGACAGGTGTGGGGATTTTTGAACTCCTTCTGCATGTTACATTGTTATGATAGTGGGTGGTAATGACAGTGCGTCAGTGACATATAGAATGAAATGTAAGTTATGTAAAAACACAGCTGGCACCAGCGCAAACCGTCTTTTGGTGGTAAAATAGTACTGTCAGTTTTTACTAAAGACGCACAGTGAAGAATTAGCACTGAAAAGGCTTGGATAGTTATTTTTGCACCTGAGAGTTTCCCTTTCAGACGCAAAATGTATAGGAGGAGAGAGTATTCAAATGAATCACGCAATGAGTTTTACTAACGTTTGCGCTCGTCAAATTACTGGCATTTGCGCCATTATTTGACGCCCCAAAAAAGCATGTCTTAAACTTTTTTCTTATTGTTGCTGGAGGAGGACCGCAGAGAATATAGAGCGTGTGATAGAAGGGAGATTTTTTTCTGCATGTATTAATTTATTTGGAATGCCAGAAGAACACATTGTCCGAACATATTGTTTGCCAAGCCATGTTATTTTTAATTTGCTTCAGGAAATAAAAGATGACTTGGAACCCTCAACTAGGAGTCTCGCAATACCAGGTCTATCAAAACTTCTTGCAACCCTTCATTTTTTGGCCTCCAGTTCTTTTCAACGTAGCCTACTGTGGCTTATTTATTTCTTTATTTGCGACTACGCATCTGTGTTCTTTAATTTGCGCATTGTTAGTAAATCACCCACATACATTTCCACACCCATCAGCGCTGTTTTGGAATTGCTCTCTGGTGCTAATTTGCCCTGTTTAGTAAAACTGTCCCTAAGTGTGTGTTGGTGTGCTTGTCAGTACATAATGTAAAATATTACAATTTGGCATGAAAATACAGAGCAGAATTTTCTCACCAGAAGAAATATCCGGAAGATCCTAGGCTCTCTTCTCTATCTTGCAATATGCAATTTATCTGTTGAGTCTATCCATCCCTGACACGTGGGTATAATATACCTTAGTCCAGAGCAATCTAAAATTAACAAAGACAAGGAACAGTTAAATTTAAACATTAACATAAGACGACATTTCCTACTTCAGTGTTCAAAATATAATTAAAATCTCACTTGTTATTATTTACCAATTGAAACAAAGTGAACAGAGACATTTTTTATGGTTTTGTGGGTTCCATATATTATTCTAATTAACTATTATTCTAATTAACTAACGGTTTTTAATACAGGACACCAAAAATCACATTATGAAAAATATTAAACAATTCATTACAAATAGCAAACAAATCAAAACAGTAGCCTACTACATTATACCAAGATTATGACTTCACATAAACACAGTACAAAAATAAATATCAACTACTTAACAAATATTTTAAACCAATTTTTTGTGTACTTAATATTTTCATTTTCACAAACCGTTTCGTACAGTGTAAATAACAATACAAACTGTTTTAACTTTTCAAATGTGATTATATGTTTGTGCTTTTGGAAATGGATCTTTAATTAGCCTTATTATTTTGCATTTAAGCCTCTTTTTGAGCATAAAATGTAATTATATTCTGAAAATGTAATTGTTGTAGGTCCAATTATTTAGTTTATCATTTATCCATATCGATTCGGGGTGTACTTTCTCCCAAGTGGTATAGTTAAGACGTATGGGGTTTTGACAGTGGAACTTTTATTAACGTTAGAAACTGTAAAATCCAGCATCCTGTTCAGACCCTATTATATAGTACATACAAATAGTATTTATTTTATTTAACAAGAACAGTTATGTGACTATACCTTGAAACCGATAATGGTGTATTTTGATAATTGATGATAATGCTGCTCCGCTCTCTTTCACGTTCAGTTCTTCATGTCTGAAGTAGCGGCGCGTGTAATCAGTGTAGGTCACAGCGCCCTCTGTCGGTGAAAAATAATCACTACATGATTGCTCTGGTAACCAGCAACTTTCCAGAGATAAAGCATTTCATTTCTGTGTCTCTCGAAGTGTTTTAATTTTACACTAGTTTCCAGACGAAAGGACATGTAGTTTTGAATAATAAGGCGACATACCTTCACCCAGAGTGGACGCGACACCGGATGAAGAGGCTCCTGGTCTTCGAGACGAGCGCGTTGGCCAAATATCTGAAATATATGTAAAATTTTCCCCAAAACCAACTCAGTGGCGGCTCCTGCCAATTCTCTCAGGGGGGGCAAATGTTTGCATGATTAATGATGATAGGTCACCCATTCAATTGATAAATTAACGGCTAGTTAAAGATGTAAAGGAAACTGAACTACTATAGTATTAATTAAAAATAAACTGACTCTATCAATCAATCTCTTGCTCTCCTTATGTTTCTATATGCGTGTTAACACAATTCAGCAGCAAATGAAGACTGAAGCCAGGATGTGGTTTTCCAAAAAACTTTTTACTTCAATTTCAGTTAAATAAGAAATAATTGAAGTCACATAAATAACTATTTACACAACTCACTTATATTACACAGCTCATTTGTATCACACTGCTCACTTATATCACATTACTCACTTATATTACATTGCTCCCTTACATTAACTTACACTGCTCCCTTACATTACTCACTTACATTACACTGCTTACTTACATTACTCACTTATATTACATTGCATTACACCTGTAGTTGTCCATGCGATGTCCGTCACGCTCTCGGGATGGAACAAAATGCAGGGGTAGCAGAATAAAGCGTTAGCTACTTCACAGCCCGCTAGCCATTTTTTCCGCTCATACCACGTCCTCGAAAATCCCCGTTTATACGACTTCCCGCCCTTTGTTGATACATGTTTGATGTTTAAATTTGGTCTTGGTGGTCCTAATTCTTTAATTGCCAATTTATCCTTATTGCTACGACGACTGAATGGTATTTCTTTCAATGACACGATAGAATTCATCTGCGCTGAGGTAACGTTCGCCAAGATGTCGATCAAGTTCAACTGACAACTGAATTTGAGTTGGCGTAGCTGTCCCTGTCTCTGTATTTTTTTTAATTTTTATTTTTTCACATTTGATAAAGATATTAAAGTAGTTTTAAATTTTTTCTTGTTAAAATTCACATTTTTTAAATATTATTGGACGTCACTGTTCCCACCAATCCTTGCAAGTTAAGGTTACGCATGATGACGAAAGCACGTTAGTGCTAGC